AATATAAATATAACTTTACTAAATCCCAGTGAACGGATTATAACCTATTTCAGCTGTTGAGGGCTTAAATTATATAACTCTTCTCTTTATAAATGATTTGGCTGAAAACTTTAATGATAGGTTTGATGTGAAATATGCGGATAGGTAAAACCCCTTTTTAAAAGACCTGCCAGTTAATTCTGACCAACGTAAAGTTACAGACAAATAGCAATCAATCTATTTTGTATGTTGTACTTAAAAACAACAGCAGAGTTTGGTATATTGCGAAATCTGTCAGTTACAGATCATTGATTTTCTGAAGGTCAATTCATGAAGCGCGTGGTCTTCTCTGTACTGAGAACCAACTCTTTCAATACCATAACGCGCATGTCTATTAACAGTCAGAAGTTTACTAAAAGGTTCACTCTTTTCACACAACAGGCCAATCAGTGTTTTTTAGGTCAATAGGAACGACGGAAGTTGATTGAATACAACATCCTGTGGAAGTGATGTAAATATATATGTTGCACAAACAATTCAGACAATTATTCAATCTGGCTAATTTTAAAATGTCCAAGCTTCAAGGTTAATAGAACCCAGGAGTCTTTGGCTCGTGTATTATTCGATGTAGGTTAGATAACCGCCCCTACACATATGGCGTAATTCCTGAAAAGCTGTCCAATCTGCAATTTAGTAAATAAATGTGAAGGCTACTGCATCACAATAAACTGAGCCTTCTTGCACTGTTGATCACGTGTGAAGTGTAAAAAAGCACGTGCAGACGATAAAGAATAGCATGCACCACGAGAGTTATGATTTATTGTAAACAAGTAAGTAGATGTTATGAAGTAACCAGGCACCTATCACTGAAATAATACACTTGATTTAAAAAAATAATCAAGTTTATTTGTTCAAACAGATTTGATTATTTTCCATCCTTTCTCACTAACACAACATCCGTTCAGCCACAATGAGTGCGTAACTCTGATCTTCCTATATAATATAGTAGATATAATTTAGATCAAATACGTTTTGTATATTTTTGTTGACCCAACTTTGGAAAGACAAACTTTCAAATTTGCACAACACAATTTGTTGTTTGTATAATGATCCTGAAATAACAACACCTATGCCAAATAATATATGTTTGGACCGAGTTTCCAAGTGAGACTGGAAAAAGACTCGTGAACATGGAGCCCAAACATCGTCTCGAAATCTAGAAAAACGACAGAATAAGTAAACTCAGTTCCCCTTGTGAACACACACTGCCAAACCAATTTTATATAACGAACGTTAACGCTCCTGTTCTTCCATATTTGGAATTAGTTGTTAATAATTAAAATCGTGAAGTAGTTTCTTAACAATGAAACCAAAATTACAAGTGTCGTCAAGTTCACGTATAAAACCTTTCAAACCGTTGTTACAACCAGTGCACCTAACCGAAAATAATTTGCTCGAAACATTGCAATACATGTGTTTTTTCAGAATTTCGCACAAAGCTTGTTTGTTAGTAATCAAGCACAAAGCTATGCAATGGGCTATCTGTGATTTGCCCACCACGAGTATCGAAACCCGGTTTCTAGCGTTATAAGTCCGCAGACATACCGCAGTGCCACTGGGGAGCCGCACAAATCTACACAAGGACTATTTACGTATAACCATTCCTAATTTGGGACTGATACTGATAGAGGAAAGGCAATTAGACAACAGGACTCACCGCAATTTCTTAGGCTATTCTTGTATAAACAACTAGTGGGATTTACCCGTCAGTCTTATCGCGCATCCAAGACCACAAAGTGCGAAGCTCGTATTTGCAGCAACGGATTGAGAATTAACAATCCTCAGATTCACAGTCCAAGTACGCTAACAATCGGCCACACGCGGCTCGAAGCACATTTGTTTTATATATGTATACATATATATATATTGTATCCATGCCCCTACCTCTTCCCGGAACCACAGTTCTCAAATTTTTGGCCCAGGTAATGAAATATATAGAACTATATGTGAGAGAGCGAAAAATAGAGGTGTAAATAAAAAGGACTGGAATACTTGGAGCGAGCCTAAGATCTGACTATTGTGCTTTATATCATATTACGGAATTGATACAAAATGTGTTGGAAAAGTGGTTGTGTAAAGTATAGAAAGGAAAATCCTTTTTTCAAGAACAGGAAAACTGATTTAACCAGGCTTATATTTGGTGGTAAATTGACTTATGAGGTTTGTGCCTATGAAAAGAGCCGAGCCGATACGCATGGTTACTTGTATACAAACGAATATTGTACGTTTTCAAGTCAGTTAAAGAACTGAATTCAATTCTTTATTCAAAGACTACAGATTAAAGCAACTGCTTTGTATCAGTACATCAACCTTCAACAAAAAAGGGTCCCTCTTTAGTGAGAAAGATTATAATTTAAGTTAAAACAGAAAATACCTGGGCACGGGCTAAAAAAAAATCAAACCCAAAATAACCGTTATAAGATAGATGGATTTTGCTATCGTACGTAAAAAGTAAAGAGTATTTAAACATGATTAGTGTTAGGTAAGTATTAACTTATTATTTTATAAAGAGATATTTATTTAAAATCAGTTCCATGTCTGTTTTGTTGCGTTGAAGTTTATTTCAGTTTTTCAAAGAATGACGCTTGACTCGCTATCTGAGGGTCGCGGGTTCGAATCCTCGTCCCACCAAACATGCTTGCCCTTTCAGCCGTGGTGGCGTTATATGACGGACATTCCCAATATTCGTTGGTAAAAGAGTAGCCCAAGAGCTGGCGGTGGGTGGTGATGACTAGCTGCCTTCCCTTTAGTCTTTCACTGTTAAGTTAAAGACTGCTAGTGCAGATAACCCTCGTGTAGCGTTGCGCGAAATGCAAAACCAACCAAAAAACTAATAAATTCATAAAGCAATAGGCTAATAACCTTTGGCTATAATTTGTTTTTTACAATACCCTTTAACTTGTCCATTACAGATTTCATATCAGTATTTGGCATTTCCTATCTGAACGACACCTTATACGACACATGGGAAAATCGGCCAGTTCAGACACCCTAAAGATTTAATCGTAGCCATCCTTAATTTAAAACTACTGACCAGAGGTGGGGGTGTGGCAACTAGTCAGGACTACACACTGGCTATGGAGATATTCTTAATGGAATAGCGGGTTATGACCCAAAGTGGAAAGTTTTGAAAGTGCCGAACGACACGTGTCTTAAACCTTGGATCTGTTGACCCGTAGTCCATGCCCACTCTTCATAACAGTGGTGATTAAAAGCATCAATAGTTTATTCCCCACAAGTTTCTGGATAAGATACGTTTTGTTCAACGCCAGGATTCGACAGCTGGGCTGGACAATGAGAGGCAAAAGTATCTTGAAACAGTATTTATATATATACTGTAAAAAACAACAACACAACTTTAAACTTGTGGTTTTAAACTACTGGTGAAGCAATGTAACTCAATAGATCTACCACTCGCAATAGAAATCACATTAGATTTTAGAAGTATTCTTTTAAGCATTTCCTTTAACTTATCCTTTAAAGATTTCAAATCAGAGGTGTTTGAAATGCAACATTTTAGATCTACTTTTTATATTCCACAAATCACTACCAAGTACACCATTTTTTTTAATGCTAGCATTTTTGTACTGCATTTTTAAATTACATTTCAGATGAAACCTTTATATTGCATAGCTCGTTTGACTAACTCTCGTTTTGAATGAAAGACCTTCAAGGCGATGGTTTGTGGGAGATAAAAGAAAGACTTGAAGTGCTTTTTTATGTATTTTCACACACACACACCTCTGGTTTGAATTCAATATTGGTCAAATAAATATGAAAACACATTTATAGTTTCTTGTGATTTTCACCACAAACATTACTGCTCTTAACTTTCTTCACTGCAGTATAGTTTTCATGCCAAAAGGGTCTGTCGTAAGGCTTCACGTCCTCTCCATCTTGCGTGTTTCCCATAATCCATCTAGTGTACAAAAACGACAGTTTCCCAGCCTGTTTCAATAGTTCCATCTCACAGAAATCCATAAGTGCAGCGTCCGGCGACTTTATCGTTATGTTTTCATAAGAAATAGCATGAATATCCGTTTCATTATCCAGCTATGTAATGGAAGTAGCTTGTATACATTTGACTTGTATCATTTTTCCAGACGAGAATTCTTCTTGATTATATTACATACTGTTGCCTGGGAGAGGTGGACAGCTTTTGCCATTGACATTTGTGTTTGTGGGATTACCCTTGTTACAAATGCCGCACTTTGCTTACCAAGGCTGAGGTACGACTTGTTGCAAGCTTTTTTCTGGATGGTCCTGGTACCCCAAGTTGATAAATTCCCCATGCTCTTACGTATATGAGATATTCCCGTCTAGGAAATTCTAAATCCTCATGCTGAACACATATTTATGATCCGAGTGTATGATTATTTTGCGTCGGAAAGAGGTATTACATGCTCGCCCATAAGCGACAAAACTTCAGTGACATCACGCAACCTATGTAACGTAAAACAATATCAAAATTTAGTTCCGATATATTCCGTTTCACCGCGACTTCATATCGGTTTTGATTGTCGCATGATCTGCATAATCAAAATCGTTTTAGTATAACATACCCAACTCTTTGGATAATTGTGAAAATCCTAACGTTTTTTTTCTGAATAAAATCTATATAATTAAGGTTTTAGATCAGCTCCACGCTCAATTGTGGAACCTCAATTAAATACACAGGTTGTTGCTTAAAAGGTTATTTTCTTGACTCAATTTTTGTCTGTCTCAACTGAAGACATGTGGAATTTTTATTCCAATTAAATATCTAACTAATTCGCGAAACTGTATGTGTGTGTGTGGATTTGAAAAAAAAATAGGTTAGTTAAAGGTAATAAATCATTATATTTACAGCAGTAAGTGAAAATCTATAAGATGTAGTCAGATAAATGGTTAGCTATTTAAGGAAGACAATTCATAAGTTGTACAGTAAAAATACCTTTATTTACAATTATTCTATAATCTGTACAAAGTAAAATATGACATACTGAAACGTTCCATCTCCTGTCAACATCACATATCTTGATTAACTCTCTACATGACCTAATGTTAAAGATATATATATATATATTATATTTTAATTCTTTAGGAACTTACATATTATCTCTACTTGAAATTAATATATTTTTTCATTAACATGTATGAAGCCACGTGTTAAATTAGGGAGATTTCTTAAGCATCTTTCAACTCCCCATTTGGAAATTACCATTGATAACACAAGTATATGTACGAAAAAAAAAATGCAACTCTAATGTTCTTGTCTTTTCCATGTTCTTCGGGACCCAGAACGGCAACTCAATTTTATCAGTCGCTTCATGCTATCGTTAAACACTGTAGTCTAGAGCAACAGAAGTTTGTATTAAAGTCTATGTTTAAGCACTAGTCTATAACTTTTTGACTCGTCATAAATCTCAGATGAACTAACAATTCATTCTCAATGAGCATGATAAGTATGACATATCGAGATTAATTTCACAGTCATTTTTACCCACCCAGGGCATTATTCAGATAATACTCTTAAAATTAGTTTTAAAGAAATTAAAGCTAATTATCATTCACTAATTGCATTTGAAATATTCTATTAATTTTCATTTAGTTCTGTTACTAATAATGGGTGCATATGTATATATGTGATGGTATTCTTTTTAACATCATAGATACCATAGTGATGTCATGCGGGAAGTGAACTGGATCAGTCTTTAACAAGCACAGAAATATAAAAGCTTTCTCCCCATATATTAAACTTGTAGATGGTCAACAATCATACACGATTTTAAAAATAAAAGATCATTAAAGAAAAGTTAGAAACATTTGGAACTCATTTCAAATGAGTGAAATCTAAAGATAAGCCATAAATTCATGCACACAAACAAACGTTACACATACTAGTGTTGGGCATTTATAAATCTAGGTCTTTTGTCAGCAAACCAGTAACAGTTACGAGAACGATTTCTGAGCGTAGTCTATTTTAATACCGCGTATGTTACGTGAAGGGATAAACGTCTTATCTCAAGTTTATATATTCTTTCGAAGTTATTACATATCCAATGTATTTTATACTTTAATGTTCAAAGAATTGAAAAGCATAAAACGTACAAATAAATACGAATTACAATAATATAAAGTAATAATTTGATGACTATTGTTACTGAAAGTAAAGGCTTTTGATTAAGGTCATTGTATGCGAACAAGATAAAACAGATATTATTATTTTGTTCTCACGTTAATATTTCTCCACACTCGTGTCTCTTTCTTCCGAATAACCAGATTCTGCTGAAATATTATCGCTGTCTTCACCTTTAGAAATATCAAAGGACTCGGAACCTTGGACTTTGGAAATCACATCCTCCATGTACGAATCGTTCAACTGCAGGGGGCTCAAACAATGATCAGGAATATAGTCAACTTCGTCCATTCGTATATACAAGGCTGACCCGTGATCTGAAATGACGGAGTCAGAGACAAAATCTTCTTCAAATTCCGAGTCCTCTTCTTCCTCTTCTAATTCCTCAATAGATGTCAGTTTAGGTGCACTTCTTGCACGTTCTAGAGGCGGACGGAAGTTACTTATTCCTGTAATGAGCATCTGCTTCCGGCGGGGAACAGTTGGTAAAACTGACAAAGAGTTTGCTACCGACAACCGTGCTTTCTGACGTCTAAGTTTTTCCCGTCGAAATTCTTGAAGAGCGGCAGTCAGCCTCTGATTCAACTGGCTAACAATTGTCCAAGCTTTATCTTCCTTACCAATCAAAACAGCATGACAGCGAAGTTCGTGCTTTAAGCGGCGACTTTCGTGCCTGTACACCCAACAGAAGACTCGCGGATAGTGGGGGTGGGCCGTACAATATGTAATACGGTTTGCCCAGTACTCTGTCAGTCCGTGCTCTCCCGTCACTGCTTTCAAGCCCGAGTTACATACGGTCAGAGTCATATGAATATCCTGTTTAACATTAGAACAGTAGTTTTTCCACAACGTGGCTAGGGCCATGTCGACACAGCTTTCACCCTTTAGCCACGGTGTAACCACGTTACCCAAATACATCACCTTGTAAACAGGGTCATATTCGGTGATCGAGATAGACCGTTTGTTCCAGAATTTCAGTTTCATCTTAATATGTGGCTTAGAAAAGGGCAACTGTATTGACATTGTTAATGATTTGACGCTATAAACAATCAAATATCAAATTACTGAAAATGGACGGACTCCCCTTTCTCTTTCATCTGGCGATCGGTCGGTCACGTTCCGCGGCTCCGTCAGTTAGTTGTATTCTGATGTCTATTTTGCCTTCTTTCCTACATGTATTCCTCTGTCATATTTCCGGTTACTAACTGAAATTTGTTTTAATTTTATCAATTTAACTTTCATTGATATTCACACACAAAATATTTTTTCAGTGTCATTTTACTATTATAACTTTAGTCTATAATTCATTTAAACAAACACGACTATGAACTGGACACATCACGGGCTGATCCCATACGTATTGTATTTTCACGAGTTATCAGTCACGCACTTATAACTTCTGCCTGCGTAGTTGACGTCAGAGTCCAAGTGACTGTGATTGGTTGGCTAAAGGAGTTGTAACTGCCACTCGCAAGCTTTTTTTTTTTTTTAATCTTCTGCTTATGAATTAATGTTTAATATATTCAATGTAAATCATTTTATTCATCGTCTCTTGCTTCTTACATCCAAGTAAAAACCCTTATTTCCTATGCTTCATGTAAGCAGAATAAAAACATTAAAATTTCTAATAATGTTTTCAAAGTATTACAGTAAAATTGATCTAAAATAGGTAATGATATTTAAAAATGACAATGAAACATTTTTCTTAGTTTACTGATTACTTCACCTAAGTATTAGTTAATTAATTTTTGTTTCGTGAGTTATTTGCTGAACGAATGTTTCTGAGACTTACAACAAATAACTGAATACAGTCCTTTAGGCTGCTAAGTGTGTTTAGTGTGTTAATGTTGTGTTAATGTTCTTGAATGTGGCTTGCTAGCTCCAGTTAACACAATCATGATACCCTGCTTCACTGTTCTATGTTTACTGGTAATAAAAATATTTATTTCAAACTATTCGTATCTAATTTTATCTTACATACAAGTGCTTATTAACGATATTCTAGCAATGTATCATTTCAAAGTAAAAATTAATATATACATATATTTCTTCAAAAATATTATTTAATGTGAAACCTCATGCACGATTAAGAGGAAGGTCGTATCTTCACAAACCATTAAGTTTCGAAGTTAGGAGCTCTAAATAACTAGCAGAACTAATATTTTTTTATGATCGAAATGTCAAATCCCTCCCATGCCAAGATGAGTTCCGGCATTATTGCCTCAAGCGGATGAGAATGGACGGGATCGCAGGTTAATCCCCAGCTAACAGCTGGTGCTCATTATACAGCTGGGTAAACTGAAACAATTGAGATAAAGCGTCTTACTCAAGGAAACAATAGCATGACGCGAGACAGCCTCGAGCTAGAAACTGTCCGACTACGAGTCCAAAGCGTGAACACACTGAGTCCTGTTTTTTTATAGTAATTTAACTTAATTATAAAGAGTAGGCTCGAAACCTTCTTTTGTTATTTTTAGCTTTTTTAAATTACATATGCGTTGCTTTTAGATGCCTTGGAGGCCGAACTTGGCCTTGTAGTTAACGTGTCAAGACTGAGAATAGGAGTATTCGTGGTTCACGATCCGATGCCACTAAATGTTCTCCGCACTTTGAGGTCATTAGTGCGCTATAAGATAAACGGTAAAATCCCCACTATTCGGCAGACAAGAGCGAGTGCTGTTAATTAGCTGCATTCATTTTAGTCCATCGATTTAAAATTAGGGATAGCTATGCGTGAAACTGTAAAACAAACAGAAAATATGTCTCAAATCAACATGGATATGTGTTTTAAAATATTATCATCATAGAAATTTAAATATTTAATGATTTATAAATATAATTAAAAAATCGATCAATTACACAATACAAAAACAGTTTAAGATAACTGGAATGTGAAATATTATAGCCATAACAAGGCAAAAATCAATGTTATAAAATAATATCAACATCAGTTTACTGTTATGCAAAGCAGACTAGAGATCAGTTATGAAACCTGAAATGCAAGTTTGTTTACTTCTTGTTAAACGCAAAACTACACAATGGGCTATCTGTACTGTGACCACCACGAATATCAACACCTAGTTTTTAATGTTATAAGTCTTTATATTTACTGCTGAGCCAATGGAATGCATGTATATAGCAGGTCTTTTAGTCTAGATTAAATATAGTAGCTTCACACACTTTAGTTTCTCTAAGTATTGCTAAAATAATATGGAACCGTTTTTGAATCAATGATGTAGTTGCTCGGATGCCTGAACCAAGCAGAACATCACTCACTGAGGACACAAGCAGAACACAGTAGAGTACTTGTTTCGAAACTCAATTAGATTACATCAGTAATGACAGGCTAGAAACAGACATAAACAGTTTTAATAAGGTATTTTACATATCCAAAGTTAAATGGGGTGCATCACACTTACAGCAAAGTACAAAAAGTTCTCCTTCAACGGTTCGCCAGTGGATCAACCACACGTGGAGCAATATTCTCTCTCTCTCTTATTAATGGGTCATGCTTCACTCAACTGTTCTCCTTCAACGGGTCGGCAGTGGATGGACGACAAGTGGAGCAATATTCTCTCTCTCTCTTTTTAATGGGTCATGCTTCATTCAACAGTTCCCCTTCAACGGATCGCCAGTGGATCAACCACACGTGGGGCAATATTCTCTCTCTCTTTTTAATGGGTCATGCTTCATTCAACAGTTCCCCTTCAACGGATCGCCAGTGGATCAACCACACGTGAGGCAATATTCTCTCTCTCTTTAATGGTTCATGCTTCATTCAACAGTTCTCCTTTAACGGGTTGGCAGTGGATGAACGACAAGTAGAGCAATATTCTCTCTCGCTTTGTATGATAGGTCATGCTCCATTCTGCAAACAAATATCGGGCGTATACTAATTTACATTTGGTAAGAGTTAAAGATAGTATGTGCGAGTGATAAGCTTTGGTGGATATGCTTACGTCCAGATTTCACGTAATACATGTAGCACATATTAGAGACTATATTCTACTAGATCTTGTGCTATCATATGCTGGCCCAATGAGTGACAAGTCCACCACCTGAGTGCTAAAATGATCGACACGTTCTTTGAAAAAAAGGAAACTGACAGGATCAAATACTCTGCACGCTCACTGAGCTTTAGTCTGATGAAGCATTTATAAAATGCTCGTGAAACTCCAAATGATTTCAGATGTCAAATATACCCAGTAAGCAGCTCTTTCGGTCGAGAATATCTCAGGACCTAAATAACAACACGTTTTGAAGCATGTAACATCGGTCCATGTAATTTTTAAATGTGAAATAGTAAATCCATTGTACTAATACTATCTAGCAATATTTAAGTATCTCTTGTTACGTAAACTAGTTTTTGTCTAAGTTTTACATGTAAAGGATTGCTGTAAGTTAGACAAGTGGATAAAACTTTTTGAAATATATTTTACATAACGATTATGTATTTTCATACAACTAACGACTAACACTTTACTTTATTCATTCAAAAATATTTTAGTTGTCATTTAACGGATCGTTCCATATTTTGTTTTGTATACCTTCTTTATACATTTACTGTTAAGCACAAAGCTACACAATGAGCTAGTTATGATGGGCCCACCAAGAATATCGAATATCGATGTTAGAACATTACGAATTAAAAAAAAAATGACCAAATGTTTGGACCAGTAACGGAGTGTGACGATGATAGATAGTGTAGATCCATTATCAATAAGATAATTTGACACGATCCCTTAACTTTTTTCAATAGTCTTAAGTAAGAAGTAAAGATTAGCTTCACTTTGTCTGTCATAAGGTTCATTAGATAATCCAGAGCCGTAGGAAGCGGTAAGGCCAGTCAGGCCATGGCCTGACCCCCTTTTTCATGGCATGTATAGCTACAACTTGTGTAATAAAACTTGCTTCTTTTAATTCATTACATTACATTGTGTGTATGCAGTTTGTGTAGTTAAAATGGTTCAAGATTCAATCTGATATCATTAAATTTTCAAAAATATTCTGGAGGAACATCCTCAGACCTTCCTAAAAATGGCATGTTTTGCTTGCCGGAAGTGTGCTTTGCACTCGACGTGTGTCACATTGTTTAGCTGTGGTAATACTCTAACCACTCCAAAATTTCTTCCTACGGCAATGAAATCATATGAATGTTTGAACCACCACCTTGCCTTTCTTTATGTTATAAACTGTTAATAGATTTAGGACTAAAACTGATAGCCTAAATATTATTTTTTCAGCGCGCTAATGATTTTTAAACAAAAACCTGATTCATACGTGTAACTATTTCTTTATCTTGCAAAATTATACAACAGTTTCTTTTATTTACCACTGAAGCCTTTTGATTTTAGATTCAAGTCACGGTTCACTATGTTAATGATAATAATTTTAATTTCATTTTATTCTTACAGGGGATGGAAGCACGTGCAGAATGTCAGAAGAACAATACGCTCATTATTAAATGAATGAGAGCTCGAAATGTTGACTTGGCATTAATATTGATTAATCATCCTACGCAAGCTGTTTATAATACTGTATCACAATATAAATATTTGTCTTGCAATATGGTGAAATGGAAGGTGAGGGCTCATGCAATAATTATTTTCAATACTCAAGGTATTTCTTATATTTCCGTATTTCTCAATCTCATATATCAAAAATGTATCTAATTGAGTATCTTCTCCATAATAATCCTGTTAATGATAAAAACTATGTTAAGGAATGAATATATATTATTAACTTACGTTTCCATTACTGGTTGATTAACACCATTTGTTCTTAAACTACCAATACAGAAACTTTCAGTCAAATCATGTAATATCTAAATACCCTATAAGCCTGTTTAAGCTGGAAGTACACTACTTAATGATATCATTCGAGTATGTGTAGAAGTTGAAACTATATTGCTTAATGATATCAGTCACGAATGTGAAGAAGTAGGAATTACATTGCTTAATGCTATCATTTATGTATGGGTAGCAGTTGGAAGTACACTGGCTAATGATATTATTTGTGTATTTGTACAAGTTGGAACTACACTGCTTAATGTTACCATTCGTGTATGTGTACAAGTTGGAACTACATTACTTAATAATATCATTCATGAATGTGAAGAATTACATTGCTTAATGACATCATTTATGTATGTGTAGAAGTTGGAATTACACTGTTTAATGTTACCATTCGTGTATGTGTACAAGTTGGAACTACACTGCTTAATGTTACCATTCGTGTATGTGTACAAGTTGGAACTACATTGCTTAATGTTACCATTCGTGTATGTGTACAGGTTGGAACTATATTGTTTAATGATACCATTCATGTAGTGTCCAATAGAGCACTACTACTGCTAAAT